CATTATTGTTCTAAGATAGGACACATAGCTCCCGTGTGTTTTGCTAAACATAGGGACACTTCTTATAATTATGATTATGATTTTTATTTGCCTAACCCCCAAGGACCCAAAAGCTATTGGGTACCTCAATGGTATTACTAGATACACAAAAGGGTGTGCTTGAAGACTACAAACCTGTAGTGGATGCTCCAAGCACGGAACCCAATGAACCGCATCAAGGGGGAAGTTCGTTTTACGATATTGTTGACAATTGATGCTCCAGGACATTTTCAAACATCGATGTTCAGTATCAAACATCAATGTTCAAGGAGTTCTTTTTTTTCAATTTTTTGAAGTGCTTTTTGCTAATGTCAAAAGGGGGAAGATATAAAGGTTATGCATAGATTGAGGGGGAACTATTTCTAAATTGCATTTATGTATTATTATTATTATTAACCATGTACAATTTTCTAGATAATTATGTATTATTATTATTAACCATGTACAATAGGGCTGTTATCTATTCCTACGGTTGTGCAATTGCATCGTAGTGGTGTAGCTCATGTAACCCATGTATATATTTGGCTTCTTGTTTAATGAAACTGAGTGAACTTTGCAGTTCTTATAATGAAAACGTACGAAATAAGTTCTCTCATTCAAAATTTCTTAATTTTATGTAAAAACATTTTGAATTGTAACACAATATAAGTATGTACTGAGTAAATCGTAAGTTACAATATAAGATTATTTTGATTAAAATAGTAAACCAAGTCACCAAGATAAAGTATAAAAGTCTTATTAAATCTTTTTTTCTAATTTGTTTATTTTAAATATTCAATATTTTAAATTAGTCAAATTGTATGGAAATACTTTTCTTTAATATCATGATTAGTCATCTTACCATAAACAAAAGTTCTAGGTAAGATATGCATTGAGTCAATCTCATTGTATACGTATTATCCATTTGTCTAAAAATAAAGTACATAATAATGACATATATAATTTTCTTAGAACATATAGTCTCAAGTCTTTTAGTCACCTTATTAAGAATTATAAATTTCTTTGGATAATCTCAAAATAGTCTTTTCGAATTAGGTATTTTCAAAAATTAGTGTTATTAAGCATTAATTATCAATATATACTTTATAGTTGAGATTTATTCACTCAGTGTCCTCCGTATACGTTTGTTAAATGGATGTTCAATGGAGGAAATTTAGGTATTTTCTGTTGAAACACGGGTTTATCACGTTTTCATACTAAAGCCGTGTTCGTTGTTATGACAGGTTTTGATAATGCCAAACCACCGTGAACGAGACAAGTCATTGAATATACAAGGCGAGAACCAAAGATGAGAAGAAAGAGAACAAGGGACAAAAGAAGACCAAGAACGAAGACCGTAGTCTTAGTGTCGTTGAGTCGGTCACAATTGTGATCAAGACCGACCCAATCTTTACACCTTGGCTCTTTAGGCTAAAATTCTTTTCATTGCATTTCACATCATAAAAATGTTTTTCAAACATGTTTAAAACATTAAAAACACTTGGTGTTTGCCCAAACCAAAAACCGAGCCATCCGGCATTCGGGTTTTAGAAACCGGCGTTCGGCATTCGGTTTTCGGCGTTGGTTCTTGGCGTCCGAACTAACCAAGTAGTTTTCAACTTTTTATGATTGGTTTTTATTTCTGGGCACATTTGAATAGTTTTCCATCAAAAACCACCTTTCGTTTTTTGTCGTTTGATAAAAACCATGCGAAACGACATAAACTTGGCTAGCCGTGGTTTTTACTTAAATGAATTTGGCTAGCCGTGGTTTTCAAGTCTTTTTGTGTAGGAATTGTTTTTGAATGCAT